AGGATCATAATGTAACAGCATATTTCTTGAATGTAAAACGTTTTCTGCATAGTATGCAATACATGAGTTTCATTTCTACCATGAACTGTGATATGTTTTATCTTCTTATTTTGAGCAACATCTGACACATGTGGATCTCGTGACTTCCAAACAATCTCTACTTTCACCATGAGAAGTCACAATTCTTTTAAATAAAGATTTTGCATAACTCGTAGCTCTGAATTAATTTACTTTAGATGATATTTTTAGATTAGAAGTCAAGGTAATTACGAAGAGAACGAATCAATGTGGATTGAGAAAGAGATAATCACAAAGAGAATTGGGATAATAGGTTCATAACATGCATTTTAGGTGTCTGGTGATTCAGTTGTGGACCACGGTAATCATGGAGACTGGATATATCTCTTCTGGATATATTAGTTCGGTTTTCAGGAGTTGATCCAGGTGACTTCAGTTATGTTGAGTACCCGTAGTCTAGCTCCTGTTATATCCCCATATAAATCGTGCTTTTGATTCAGGGTTTCTTTACTGACAATGTCAGGTGTGAATTTTATCCAATTTACTCTAAAATTACTTGACTGAGAATGTTATATTATAAGTATATCTATAGATATTTAGTGATGGAATGGTTCAACCGGAAAATGTATGGAAATATCATTGTTTGCAGTAGCAACGTGAATTACTGCAGTCAAAACGAAATGATTATACTGAGCAACACAGGTGAACAATGAATGATGATGAATGATGACTGTGGTGGAGTTGAATTGCTTGGACTCCAATAGAGAAGTCACGCACTCGGCACATAGAACATGGAAGAGACCATGTTTATAGAGCAACTAATCAATAAGTCAGTTGAAAAGATAAAACATCAACCTTCTGAGCAACAGATTTTCTCTCTATAATCTCAATATTCGATCACAGTTTGCAATGTTGAATATGTAGTTACCTACCTTCATCAAGAGAACGCGAAGGGTTTAATGGAGACAATCATTATTATAACAAATTGTACTGGTGATTGCTTTACTGTGCTCGTTTGTTTAGCCTTCTGAGCAACAGATCTTCTCTCAATAATCTCAATATTTGATCACAGTTTGTAATGCTGAACATCATCTTATGAAGTGAATTGTAATGTGATTGTCAAAAATCAAGTAACTGGATGGACAGCTTTATGATAATCAACATAATGTTTGTTACTTTTATATTTCAAGTAGACGGGGATGATGATGATCCCGGACATCATGTTCATTTTCACTTTATAAATAAATATTTGCTACTTTGCGGTTCATCGAATCGTCAATGTTGATAGCACCCTCATCATATATACCGCTATAGACCTTCTAAGAAATCTTCCAGATCAATTCGTGAACATCTACAATACTGAGGTCTGAATGCAGTTAGGATCAGAATTATTTCCATTCGGAACTGTTGAGGAAAGCAAACTAACAGAATCTGAATCTTATTAGCAGCATAACACAAATGTCTTCTGAATGATACACGAATCGAACTACTATTCAACATAATTCAGTAACAGGGAAAACGAGTAACGTGGAATGAAAAATCATACAGCTGTGGTGTATACTACTTTTGTCTATCGATATAAGTAGTTTGTAACACCGATCGTAAGTGGAAAACCAGACAGCAGAAGGTTAGAAGATCGAGTTGAAGAGAATATAAGGAAAAAAGAGAGTGTGGACTGGAAGAATCATGCAGAATGTGATGGATAAATGATGGAAATTCACAAATGAAGTATTCAATGCAATGGTTGTGATATTTTATCAAGGCTGCCAAATGCCCTGGTGGTATGGCCGAGAGTGTATGTATGAATGTATGGAAATAGTTAACTATTTTAGCATTCCTAAGTTACTGTCTCAATCAATATTCACTGAATCGTAGATAAAGTGGCCTAATGAAGTGAATTATCACGACAAGTTGTCAATTTCCAAACCTACTTCATACAAACACCACTAACCTGTATATCGTATGCATTGAGGAATAAGATTTGCAAAGACAAATTGCGAATTCTGTCTGATTCATCGTATTGAATAAAACATAACACCACGTTCTTTCATCATTTCTATTTACATCCGATAACATTTTCAAGGTAAAATTGATTACGCCTTCTTCAATCTCAGTGTAAACAACGTGTTTGTCTAATGAGCAAAACATATTTGTGTTGACCTCTATTTTGTTTATAGAATCAGCTATGATCATACTTTGTTTATCATTGATCACCTCATTGCATCTCATTAATCAATCAATAATATGGTATTCTCTATTGTGTATCGTGGGTGTCATATGAATGTTGTTTGTTGTTTATTTGGCTGACATCAAAACGGAGTGAAATTCACATTTTGCATATTATTATTATTATTACTTCTCTAAAAAGAAGATGAAGTGAAAGCAAATGTTCTGGTTGTCAATTCATAGATGGTCTTGCTCCAGCTATGAATAAACACTAACCATTCACCAATTAATTTCAAATGATTGTAGTGGTGGTCCCCAGAACTCACATGGAAAAGGATCTCATTTTTAATTTTATTAAGAAAATTTGAATTTATTTGTTTTCGGGCGAAAAGCGCTCTTGCCACCTTCATGTGGTATTTCCTAGTTGGGAAATATCTTAAATGCTGTTGATTCAATGCGTCTTTCAGTATGCTACTTCGTAAGTTACCCCAAGGACGGTTTTGTGCTGTATATATATGTTTTGATTTATGATTATTATTGTCTCTGGTTTCTTGCTGTTTGCAGAATATACGTCCCCATTCCAAGCTTGGAATTGTTCTTCTAGTTAGCGGGGCTGGGGTGCATCCCAATGTCCAGCTTATTGGTCTTTGGTCACAGAGTCTTGCTCCTCCTCCGCAGATTAAGTGAACTCGTAAGAGCTTGAGACCTAGCAACAGAAAACTGCAGTTAACACGAAACTGCTTTGACTAGACAATTCACATAAATTTTTCTTCAAGTCAATCATTTAGTTCGTCTAAGGTTATTGATTCAGGCCAGTCCTGAAACAACAACTTGCATTTAGAGAGGGCGGAACTCATTTCAGACATTCTGGCATTGTTGCTCAGTGCTAACAAAAGAATTTGCATTTCATCACTGCTTTCACCAAACAGGACTATATCATATGCGTATTGTGAGTCGATAAGCAACTCTTGAATAGACCAGCTTTGTTGAGTCCAATAGAGATCGAAGCAGCACACACTGACCTTCTTATATATGTCACTCCTGCTAACGAAACAAAGACCTCTGAACTGTGTGCATTTAGGAATATGATTTAAGAATTCGGGAATTCTGTCCAATTCACCGCATTGAATATAACATCACACCACGTTCTATCATCATTTCTCTTACATCCGATAACATTTTCACAGTAGAATTTATTACTTCTTTAATATCAATGTAAACAACGTGTGCATTTTCTTAACAAACATATTTGTGTTGACCTCGTTTGTTTATAGAAACACTAATGATCATACTTTGTTTTCATTGATCACCTCATTCCATCTCATAATGAGATCATATGGTAGTGTCTATACTCTATTCTGTCTAGTGGGTGTAATATAAATCTGAGTTGGAATAAAATATTTCGCTTCGTAATAATCTGTTCATGTGACTGACAAAATGATTAGAATTCTCAAGTCATAAAAGATTACTACTTCCGTTAAGGAAAATCAAGTGAAAACAATCACTGTTGTGGTATTTATAAAACTCTTGTGTCCAATCCTCATGGCTTTTCATTCGCTGGGGTACCTGTAGTTGTATGTTGTTCAACTGTGTATCAGAGATCTGCATTATTGTATGGTCAGTTTGCAGCTGGCCAAACACTGGTAACAGACATATATATGTATCACATTGTATTTTAGCTACAGCTAAATTCAAAGAAACGGACTGCTGATTACATCACCTATCTCAGTGGAACGATCGCCGTTTGCTCGTTCATTTCGTTTGGAATCACCAGGTGACTTCACCAAACAGGACGATATCATCTGCGTATAGTGAGTCGATAAGTGGACCTCTAGGAAGGAGATCAATGCCCGAGAATTCAATCGACGATAGCGTTATTTCCATCGGTTGGTCTATGGCGAAGTTAAACAAAAAATAGAGAATGTGGACAGCCTTGACGGACACCACTTGATGTTGAAAAATCAGATGACAGTTCGCCATATGCTCTGACTCCACTAGTACATATACCACTCTAATCCTTAGGAAATTGATCCATTTCACAGAAAATGGAATGAAAATGTCTTTCAGGTCACTTGTGATTGCCATCGGTTGATATTCGCCTTAGACTACTTCTGATTAGCTCTCCATATCAACATATCTCTTATTCATTAGAGTTATCTATTATGAAAATATGTCACTAATTTTTTATGTAATTATATTATATTATATATATTATATTATATTTTTGTTACAAGAATTTGATCATAGGTGTCTTTGAAGCATTGATCGTATATCCTGGTACCATTGAGTAAGTAATCCAGTTGTTAGGAAACGGGTACTAGGTAAGGATGCCAAATCAATTGATGAATTAGTGACACTTTATCAGTTGAGATCACTGGGACATGTGTTTTGTATGCCAAACCAGAGACTGCCTCGAAGTGTGATGTTTTATGATGTAGGAGTAGGTTGGAAGAAAACTAGAGGCGGCTAAACCAACACATGACACGAATTCATGAAGTCACTGACAAGTTTACTGAGACATGTCGGTAGACGTATACTGCCTTGTTAAGATCCGCGAGACGATAGGAAATAATGGTTAGATATCTTGAATGACATGGCTGAAAATCCTTTCCAATGGCTCAGGTGCATCCATTCCTTGTGTTCACCCAAATTCTAAACTTCTAAATTATTCATGTCCCTCTATGTTTTTCTCCTTGAAATTTATTTCACTGGATTATAATCCTTGAATTACATTTTCAATCCCTAACGTTTCCGATTACTGCTGATACTTTTACTACCTCTACCACTATGGGACTTGAATGGACAATTGTATCTGTGTGCTGATGTGGTATGTCAACTAATGTACGTGCGAAATTCTACCTTGTTACTGACTGACTGTCTGACGGACTGAACAGTAACTATGATAAAGTTTGTCTAATTACATTCCGAGTTTATTCGTTTGGGTTAAGAAGCTCTTGGTTCACGTAGAATCTACCACATTATCCAATAATATCGATTTAGTCTACACTCATAAATATCTAAATAAATCAATAAATCTTTCCAGAAACATTCTACAATTAACATTAAAGAGCAAAGTTAAGATGAACACTGATACGATGGACGTCATACATACCAATGCTAATTATAATGAGATGAATGATATTTTAAGAAAACACTTATTTAAAAAGAAATAAAGACAAACTTGATCTTCATGTCATAGAAATTAATTCACACAATTGTTTCTAACTACTTTTATCGATATAAGTAGTTAAATATGATTGAAATTTGATAGTAACCAATTTCTCACAGCATATTCATGTGATTGTTTCACTGAAAATGTAGCATAATTAGGCAGATTTTGACATGAATCATCAATCTTTTCTCCATTTTCTTCGGTATTCTTTCAGTAGTCTGTAAAAGACTCAATTCAGTTGAAGTATTTGGAAAGATTCTTTCATCAATCATATTATCATCATCATCTTCATCATTGGGTGAAGAATTGAGTTGATTTTTAACTTGTATTAGTAATGATTGAAGATGATCTAACTTCTTTCGAACTTCATCTATTTCATTTTCATCAAGACTAGATATTGAATGTGGAGATTTTTCTTTTGGAATATAAGAACATGGTGGAGACAATGGACTCATCCTATTCCTTATGTAAATTGAAGAAAAACAGAAAACATGTATGGTTGATAATCATCAAGAGAAAAACAAACACGTATGAAGTTGCAACTGTTATTCACAACTATTAAATCAAGAAATTGCAACTTCATAGATTAGAAAAAGATCAATCGTTGGATGAATATCGCCAATGATAACATCTCAGATTATAAGGATATTTGATGTCTATTTTAAACGAGCCCAGAATATCAATCTTATCAGAGTTGAACATATGCCTTATCTAACGAACGCCAACTAGTACAATGAGAGATGAGGTAGGATCTTGTGTAGAGCGCCTATAGAGATGTAAATAATGTCAAGAATTAGATAACTTGTGATAAAGCTTTCCAATGGTTTATGATAGAATTGAAAATGTAAACCATTTTATTTCAACTCATAGTGATGATGAGTCTAGAATTTAGAATAGACATCTGTTAAGTCTATCGAAGCGTCCAAGTCACCCGATTGAGATACGCGCAAACCGAAAGTTCGGAAAACAACGATTTGTCTACAATAGCGTTTCTTTATTAAATAATACACTGCTACTATGTTTAGTATCATTCCAGAATCTTCTAGCAACCCAAGGACATTTAAAATGTTATAAAAACCTTATATTAAACTTTCTCGAAATGCCCTCACATGACCATGTGCAGACAACCACTACCAGGGATGTTCAACTCGCTGCCTTCTCGCGTAAACGTTGTTGTTTATGAAACTGAGAGGACGAGAAGCGAGTGTTTGGCGCTTTATCCGGGTTGATGGATATGGAGGCTCTACCTGGGGGAGTGGCAAAATCTTAATTCCAAACCAATGATGCACATGGGCTCCAATATCCTAAAGAAACAAATGGCATATGAATCAATTGTTGGTAACCAGCTAACATGAGATTGCATTTCATAAAGTTACTCCACTGTCTTGTAGATTAGACCTTTAGATCAAAGGCTCTGGTTATGGGCCCCTAAGAAAACCATCTGCTTCAGTTAGGGCACTAGGAACAATATTCTAACCTTTACATAAATCATTTGTTTTATATGAAGGCATATATATCATACTACTTACAAAACCATTTATATTATATAATGATTTATTATCGATCACATTTGTTCTATACAAATAAATGTACTTTGCCAATTTTCATATTTGTCAATATTTTCCATCAAGGTCGGTATTTTCATTGTTACTATGGTGATAATGACATCAAAAGAAAACTCATCATATTGCTATATTCAATATAATAATCATAGAAAGAGATTGAAATAGTTCAATATACAATAAATCAATGCATAGTGATTATAATTCTTATGGAATAGTAGAACAAAAGAGTAAGTGTTATGTCCCGATAATCATAATGAATGATAATCATTTGGGATCCATTTATGCATCTATACTATACGTATATTGTTATTGTATAATTGTTATCTAACTAAACGATTCATATTCGTCTCCCTCTTGTCATAAGCTTTACTGTGACCTATGAATGATTATTATACTAGTTGTCATTCTTGAATTATACACTGTCTATCGATTAATACCTCCCTTATTCACATCCACATTTGGTTAGATCTTCTGCAAATGTTATTTCCTATTTTATGGTACGATGTGGTCTGTTTGGTTTGTATATACACCCAGTATGTTTGAAATATCATGATTCATATTACAGAGGTTGAGATTGATGTTCCGGATTGAACAGTCATGGTTAGACAGGAAGCAGGACTGATATGAACTCTAGACTAGTCGTACGGGTTTTACGCGTCATTGTTCCAGTCGATAAATTACTGTTCTCTAATTGACGATATCATTACATGATACATTCACAGGGCACACCGGCCACATGTTATAACAGTAAGTATTCGAAGTATTTGTTGAATTGTGATTTCGGTGGTTGAAATCATGATTCAATTAAAGCTAGACTACCATGAAAAACCTGGAAGCACTGGACGGCCTTTTCGTCCCGGTATGGGACTCCTCAGCAGTGCGCACCCACGATCCCGCCCTCCGCAATATTCGAACCCAGGACCTATCAGTCTCGCGCCAGGCCCTTAACAACTAGACCACTGAGCCGGCTGACATCCAACGGTGTTAATGTCTAACTTCAACCACTGTGATTGTTAAAAACAGTTTTCTTCTTTTCTTTTCGTTTCTTTTCTTTTCTTGCTTTTCTTTCCTTTTTTTCTTTCAACTTAGAAAAGAGGACCATTTAGACAGAAAATGCCTTTGCAATAACATTTACAATAGAAATAATTTATGAATCCAATGGATTTATGCCGAAAATCTAAGAGGTAATAAGTTTTTTTTTTACTTATTTAGTGAGTTAATTAAAACTAAGACACCATGGAAAACTTGGAATCACTGGATGACCGTTTCGTCCCAATATGGGTCTCTTCAGTAGTGTGTATCCATGATTATTATTCCTCGAGATTTGAACGTAACGCTTATCGATTTTGTGCATCAATACTTACCCTCTAGACGATTGAGTCAGTATCCAATGGTGTTAATGTTTAACTTTAAACAATTGAAGAAATTGCATCACCGTTTCCATATTGATTATTATTGTTGATTTGTAGTTAATGTGTAGTTATGCATAATGATCTTATTAATACATACTGATTTGAATCGTATGAATAACAATATCGATTTCTTCAACAAAGTGTTATATCTCGACGAGAATTATGAATGGAAACTTTTGAGAATCATTTATGGAACTAGTACTATACACATACTGTTATTGTATAATAGTTAAGTAGCTAAGCTATACATATTCATGTTCCCCATTTTATTTTAACCTATGAACTATTATTATACCATTTAACGTCCTTGATACGTCAACATTTGAAGGGAAACACGGGATACAGTGGACATCTAGGATGCAGTTGGACGATCTAGACTTCGCAGATGATCTGGCCTTTATATCCCAAACGCAACAACAAATGCAGGAGAAAACTACCAGTGTAGCAGCAGTCTCAGCAGAAGTAGGTCTCAATATACACAAAGGGAAAAGCAAGATTCTCCGATACAATACAACACAACATGCACCAATCCAGTCACAATTGACGGAGAAGTTTTGGAAGATGTGAAAACCTTTACATATTTGGGCAGCATCATTGATGAACAGGGTGGATCTGATGCAGATATGAAAGTGTGGATCGGCAAAGCAAGAGCAGCATATTTACAACTGAGGAACATCTGGAACTCAAAGCAAATGTCAACCAGCACCAAAGTCAGGATTTTCAATACAAATGTCAAAACAGTTCTACTGTATGGTGCAGAAACCTGGAAATTACGAAAGCCATCATCCAGAAAATACAAGTGTTTATTAACAGTTGTTTACGTAAAGTACTTCGGATCCGTTGGTCAGACACTATTCGCAACAACCAACTGTGGGAGAGAACAAACCAGATCCCAGTGGAGGAAGAAATCAGGAAGAAGCGATGGAAGTGGATAGGACACACATTGAGGAAAGCACCCAACTGCGTCACAAGACAAGCCCTCACATGGAATCCTCAAGGCCAAACGAAAAGAGGTAGACCAAAGAACACATCTCCGGAAATGAGATGTCATGGAAAAATAACAAGAATTGGATGGAACTAGAAAAGAAGCCAAGACAGAATGGGTTGGAGAATGCTGGCCGGCGGTAAGTAAGTAAGTACCGTCCTTGAGTTAAACCCTGTCTATTAATTACAGTCTCTCACATTCACAGCTACTTTTGGCTTGAACTTGTATAAATGTTATTTTCTATTTGATGGTGCGATGTGGTCTGTTTGGTTTGTATATAAACCCAGTATGTTTGAATTATATGATTCATATTTCAAAGACTGATATTTGTGTTTTGGATTTAACATTCAGGGCTAGACAGAATGCAGAACCAATATAGACTTTAAACTGCTCGTACGGGGTTTATGCTTTATTGGTCCTGTTGATAAATCACTGTTCTCTATTTGGCGTTATCATTAGGTTATATATATAGAAAGGGGCACACAGGCCACAAGTTATAACAGGAGGCGGTTATGTTTTTGTTGATAATCATGAATGAAGAAGATACTTAAATTGAAATTCGCTTGTCGATTCCCTCTAATTATGATGAGTACTGACTTACCTAGGTATAATTTATCAAGAACTCAATTCACTTAGCTTAACAGACGTTTTATCATAAGTTTCAAATGTAGTTTCCTGTAGAGATTTTATTTTTCAACTCTTCAAACTAGAATACACATACAAACCTTACATAAGACTGAGACCAGTAAATCATTGAGGATTGAAAGCATTTTTTTAAAAATTGCATCTCATTTTGTTCAAGTTCAGTAGTCGTTTTCAACCCCAACTTCTTAGATCCTAAATTCCATATGGAGTCATTAATGTACAATGATAAAATGTTTCATATTAGGTAGGATATAATGATCAGGATGGGGTTGTGGAGATTATTAAGTTATTGATTGAGATGATGAATCGATTGATGTTAGATTACCATTGATAACCTGGAAGCACTGGATGGCCGTTTCGTCCTATTGTGAGTCTCCTCAGCAGTGCGAAAATATGATCCCTCTCGCGGGATCAAAATTTAACAATCTCAACAACCCCTAAACTGATGATATTTATTCGTTTATTGATTATCATTAATGAATATAAAACTCGAATGAATAATTTTCTCAATGAATCAATCTATATACACACACTACTATTCACGTTTCATATAAACAGTATTTTAGGTCCAAATGAAACACAATTGACTATGAAATCTTTACAAATTGAACAATCAAAACGTAACCATTTGTTATTGACTATCAATCAAAGAAAGGATCATTTATATCCAATGAAATTTCATTATGATCAATAACTTGTTCAATTAATGAAAGAAAATGGTCATATTCAGGTGAATAATTTAATTATTCCTAAATCGTAAGTAATAACGTTTAAAAAACACAAAACAAACTCTTGATTGATTTCACAGGTTGAAATCATGAGTCGATTGAGGTTAGGCCACCATGGAAAACCTGGTAGCACTGGACGGTTGTTTCGTCCTTGTCTGGGACTCCTCACCAACGCGCATCCACAATCTCGCCTCCCGCACGGTTCGAACTCAGGACCTGTTAGTCTTGCGTGAGTACGCTTAACCATTAGACCACTGAGCCGGCTGGCATCCAACGGTGTTAATGTCTAACTTCAACCAATGCACGAAGTTGCTGTCACGCACGAGATCGATAGGTCCTCTGTTCGAATATCGCGAGGGGTGAGATTGTGGATGCGCGTTGGTGAGGAGTCACAGACTAGGACGAAACAACCGTCCAGTGCTACCAGGTTTTCCATGGTGGTCTAACTTCAATTGATTCATGATTTCAACCAGTGACATTTCTAAAATCTCCACATAACTCCTTCTCTATTTATTGTCAATGTTTCAGTTGATCAGTAATCTAATCTATTTGGTAATATCGATTCAAGTTTATTCATCAAAGAACATATTTTTGTATTGTGATATGTGGTACTTATATCGACATAAGTAGTATATAATGATAGTCAAGAATAGAATGTCTGACAGCAAAATGTTAAGAAGATCAAAGAGGAAATAACGGGAACAAAGAGCAATTAGAATGGAAAAGCAAGAACAATCAGGTTTAAAACGATTAAGTGATATTTACAAAAGGAATATCTCAGTAGCTCTAATTGGAAGAATCGAGAGAAGATTACATGTTTGCATTTCTGAGGATGTTCCAAAGAAATTGAAGCTGAGAAGGACTAGGGCTCCCAACAGTGCAATAGCTCGGTATTCACTTGACATCGGTCATATCATCGATATCTCTTATGCTTTTTAAATTATGGTGAAGTGATCGCGATAAAAATGAACTTAGAACGACAGTAGCCCTCGGAAGGACTCCAGGTGAAGTTTGTAGGCTGTACTGTTTATGTTTACCATTAAAATCATATTGATCTCTTCTTTGATTCCATCAACTTGAACCAATACATATTGAATGATCACAGTTTTCTATTGATTATCTCTCCCTTAAATTGGTTTTGTCAATTCAGGATTATAAATCAACAAACATATCGATGGGATGAATTCTCAAATCCAACAGCGTTGAATAAATCAATACAACTTCGACATATTCGACACATTCATGATTGTAACAATGCTATGGATAATGATAATAATAATAATGTACAATTAGCTGAGAACATTTTATATCAAACCAATGACAATTCTGCAATTGATTTGATCACATTCAATACAGATCGTCGTAAATCCAGAATGAGGTATACTTTTTAAATGTATTACTACAGTATGTGCTTATTTACTTAACAGTTTATTCTATGTCAAATCTATCAAGGCGTCCACGTCATCCGATTGAAATACGCGCAAAATCGAAGTTCGCAAAACAACGATGTGTCCACAATGGCGGTTCTTCATTGAATAATACACTAAATTAGTTACAAACCTCAACTTGTGACGTGTCTGGGGCGTTTAAACACGTCCCTTTGTATAAAATAAAATGGCTTCTTGTAACGGTAACATAAAGAATAGTTACAACGTACGATAGGACAAAGACAACCTTATAGTTGTGTGTAAATTTGATAACAGTTTATCAGCAACCGAAACCCGAACCAAGAGTAAAACACTATGGAAACTGTTGCGTTTAAACAAATGCACAAAACTGTAGATAACCGATGCAGTGATTAAGGTATAGTAACTTAAATGATAAATACAATGTTAAGTACAATATACGTTTATGTATAAGTGAATATTTCAGAATGCTACACGACAACTTGCGTCACAACAGAAGTGAAAACTTGCTGGGAATACAACGTTCAGTTTGTTACTTACCGTCTCACACGTTCGATTAAAAGGAGTTGGCTTATGTGCCTTCTCCACCACTGCTCATAATTTAACTTCGCACTGTTCTATTCTAATCATCCCTCTGATTGTTTGTCTAGATCAATGATTGTATGAGATATACGTATCCGAAATTCATTCGCGTATTTGACTTATTTTTATTCCTTTATTCACTAACCCGAATTAAGTCGATTATTATTACAGATGAGGATTGGTGACATATAGATTTCGACATCTTATATTTCAATGATAATCATTCATTTGATCCAATTGAAGTCACATATGTGGTCACAATAGTACATTCCACAATTAATTTAAAATTCTCCAATCTAACCAAACACATGGATCATTTATGTATGTTGATGATAACATTTCCATCTCTTGGATTATTGGATCATCACTGCTGAATACTTCGAATTTCAATTTCTTCAAAGTATAATTATGGATCGTTATAAACAAAACCCATGAAAATCAGAACCTCAAATGCCCTGGTATGTTTGAGAGTGCGGAGATTAATCTATCCTTCTCGAAATGCCTTCACATGGCCATGTGAATACAACCACTGTCAGTGAAGACGAATAGCGAATGTTTAACGCTTTACCCGTGTTGATGGACAAGGAGGATCCATCTAGCGAAGATGGAAAACCCTCGTTTCAAGCCACTGATGGCATATAGACCTATTGTTGGTCACCGTGTACCATGGGACTGCATCTCTTGACGTTGTTCCACTGTCCTGTGGATCAAACCTTTAGGTAAGAGGCTGGGGTTGTTGTCACCTAAGAAAACCACCAGCTTCGATTTGGGTACTCAATTAGTATCACAGCCCCCAGACAAATCGAATGATGAAGTATGAAGCAAATCTATTCCATGCTTCCTTGTATCAATGTGTTTAAATAATAATATAAGAATAACAAGTTAGATGAGATGTACTTTTCTGTACATGGAATTTGCTATATCCTAGTGAAGATTGAATTACGAGTAGCGTCTGAGACCTATTATTCGACTAATATTATCTATATATTCTTATGGTATAAATATTCAGTAACTAGACTGTGTATATCTACATTCCTCATATTATAAGCTTTATTTTGACCTATATATTATTATTGTACGATTTACTGTTTTTAAGCTATGTTCAGTTTATTAACTACTGCCTTCCACGTTCACAGCCACATTTTGGCGTTACTGTGTATGAATGTTATTTCCTATTTTATGCTGCGTCGCAGTCTGTTTGGCTGGTATATAAACCCAGTATGTCTGAAATACATGATTCGCATAATAGAGGCTGTTGTTGAACTCAAGTTGACGGGCTAGGCGAGCACCGAACCATTAGGACGCTAGGCTGATTAGACCGGTTGGATGTCATTAGTTTAGTTGAGTATAAGAGCGAATAAGTCGTATTTTGATTGGCGAATAGATTACGTGATAACAAGCGGCTCATAAAGTCACAACAGAAATCAATCTTTATCATTCATCCTCCTATTCTTCTGTTACTGTACTAAATCGTATAAGTCGAGAAGTAGATGTCCAGAATAGAAGGATTGTGTAGTGACCAGTCTATGGAAAAGTGAACCCCACGTAGAATGGTATTTCATTAGAAATGTTAGTCAAAAACAAGCAGTCTCTTTATTCATTTCAAGTTAAATCAATCGTTCGAATTGACTGTTTGTGTATAGAACTTATCGATGTATTTTGATTGAGATCATGAACCAATTGATGTTAGACGACCATTGAAAACCTGGAAGCCCTGGAAGACCGTCCAGTGCTGTTGGTGATGGTCAAACATCAATCACTTCATGATTTCAATCAAAAACATAATAATCTCCACAACCCCATACTGATAATGCTCGATATATGACTGGATAGAGGAGATTGTATAACTTTTCATGAAGATATGATTGAAATCAGTTGAAAGATTATTGAAAACACGAAAGATGTTGATATGTTTGTTTTACATTGTTCCTACTTGTTCCCTTTCTACTCTTTTGTATACTGTCTTATACTACTTATCTACATCCAGTAAGCAGTTGTATTCCGGACAATTTTCACACTCATATTGTAACGCAAATTGTACTGTAATATTCTGAAATGTTCACACATACTTATAACGTTTATTGTACTTGTCATTGTATTTATCACCATAATTACTATACCTTAATCACTGCGGCGGTTATCCACAGTTTCGTGCATGTGTTTAAACACAACGGTTTCCATATTGTTAGCTCTTCGTTCGTGTTTTGGTTGTTGATACACATTTATCAAATTTAGTCACAGCTATCAGCTGTCCTTTGTACTATCGTATGTTATAACTACTCTTTGTGTTACTCTTACAGGAAGCCTTTGTTATTTTCGTTGTTGAAGGACGCGTTTAAACGCCCCAGACACCTCACAAGTTGATGTTTGTAAGTAAATGTTGTGTATTATTTAATAAAGAACCGCTATTGTAGAAAAATCGTTGTTTTCCGAACTTCGAGTGACTTGGACGCTTCGATAGAATTAACAGATGTCTATTCTAAATTCTAGACTCATCATCACTATGAGTTAAAATATAATGGTTTACATTTTCAATTCTATCATAAACCATTGGAAAGCTTTTATCACAAGTTATCTAATTCTTGACATTATTTACATCTCTATAGGCGATCTACACGGAATCCCACCTCAACTCTCATTGTACTAGTTGGCGTTCGTTAGATAAGGCATATGTTCAACTCTGATAAGATTGATATTCTCTGCGCGTTCAAAATAGACATCAAATATCCTTATAATCTGAGTTGTTATCATTGGCGATATTCATCCGACGATTGATCTTTTTCTAATCTATGAAGTTGTAATTTCCGAGTAGTCTCGTGTTCAGCTTTGAGAATTGTGTGATTATGGTCCAATGCCACTACACTACTCTCCCACCAGAATCAACGTGATGTTGGTTCGATACCGAATTGGATGGGATTGTCGTGCGCTTAAGGTTACCAAGACTAGTAAGAATCCTCCGGGTAATGATAAGCTGAAAGATAAATCAAAAAGAAGGCGGCAACATCTGGTCGGGAAATATTTGTAATAATTTTAAAATACCTGCCTTCATGCTTAACACGCTTAAAATGAAAATTTGGGTGAAGATTATTTGAGCTATAGAAAATGGGATTACAATAGTAATGATAATAAAACGATGCGTGTTAATAGCCGTTGGGTTAATAACTTAACTCATACGTGGTGTGTATTTTGTGTTTAGAAATATTAAAAGTAATCAGTATTGTAGAAATGTTACTATTAGTATTAGTTTTGGTTTAAATTATGAAATCGGATAACGATTATGCCGGTAAGTTGTCCATATGAGTTGACTTCCAATTGCATTTGTATTAGTCGGCTAACTGAAGGAACAAAAGTATTACCGTGGAGCAGAATTCCAAGTAGTGTTCCATTTAGTTTGATACGGTTTATTTAGTCACGGGGAGATTTTCTCAACCTCATTTTTACTTGACCGTGATAGAATTTAATAATACTACTAATACACATGAATGGTTATTAAAACAAAATTTAAATACGTGAATGATAATTATATGAATTTTGGACAGATAGCTAAGAACAAATCGTTAAACATGAGTGTATTCGTAAGAGACATACTCTAGACTCAATGTTCTGAGTTGCCATAGACTATTTATACATATTTATACCTGACCGCTGATGATGCATACAAGTTAGTTGCAAGTATGCAGTTTATCATAAGGCGGAATACGATTCAATTGAGATATAGTGATTATAAGTTACTGAAATCAGTTAAGTCTATATACTACATTACTAGGTGATGTGCTGCAAGATGTATTCAGCTAAATAAGTTTTTACAAGATAATTAACAGTGAGTGACGCTCATGTGATTATCAGGGAGGAAACAAGTTGTAACCAAGGGGAGTACACTCCCAACTCAAGTCTAAGATAATGACTTGAACCTTAGTCAGTGTTGGGGTAAATTCGACATTAATGTTTTCAGTTCGCAGGAGATTTGCTCGACTGCTTATACTGATTATTTGCATGCATGATTGTGTCGCTAAACCATCAATTAGACTGACAAGGTTTTGAGATATTTACTGAATGAGCAACTGATAGAGAAACATACTGTAATCATCTGCAGTGAATGAAGATAAAAGAAAAACAACACTAGTGATAATTATAAGTCAGTTCGCTGAACGATTTCATTAATTTCATCAATCATATTACGTGATTGTCAAGTCGTGACAATCACTTTATGACGAAATCCTGAAACTATTATGTTTGACTAGTTATAGTGTTGATTGAGGATTAGCCAGTGGAAAAATAGGTATTGTTGCTTTAGGTGATTCGAAATTATCAGAAATTTGTAGCGTTAAAGAATCAGATCTACCTTTCTATATTATAAATTTTAATTCGAAAGTATTCGTCAAGCGTTAATTTTAGTAGGCTCCAGAGTTTTCATGTTAAACATCTATTTAGCCAAAAACTACCTGAGAATTTGATTATTTGACTAGTGTAGTTGATAGTCTCTAAATTTCTAATTCTATTATCTAAACTAGGTCCGCATTTTAGGCTGCTAATATGATAAACCAATCCACAAACCCAAATACAATCAGCAACAACGACTATGATGGGTTTATTGATAAATGTTAAAGGCGATTCAGATGATTTCTAAATTTAAAAGACATGAAGCCCTTACCTTCGTTTTAAGGGTGTGGCCTCTGAGTTTAAAATAGACATCAAATATTCTTATAATCTGAGATGTTATCATTGGCGATATTCATCCAACGGTTGATCTTTTTCTAATCTATGAAGTTGCAATTTCTTGATTTAATAGTTGTGAATAACAGTTGCAACTTCATACGTGTTTGTTTTTCTCTTGATGATTATCAACCATACATGTTTTCTGTTTTTCTTCAATTTACATAAGGAATAGGATGAGTCCATTGTCTCCACCATGTTCTTATATTCCAAAAGAAAATCTCCACATTCAATATCTAGTCTTGATGAAAATGAAATAGATGAAGTTCGAAAGAAGTTAGATCATCTTCAATCATTACTAATACAAGTTAAAAATCAACTCATTTCTTCACCCAATGATGAAGATGATGATGATAATATGATTGATGAAAGAATCTTTCCAAATACTTCAACTGAAGTGAATCTTTTACAGAATACTGAAAAGAATACCGAAGAAAATGGAGAAAAGATTGATGATTCATGTCAAAATTTGCCTAATTATGCTACATTTTCTGTGAAACAATCACATGAATATGCTGTGAGAAATTGGTTACTATCAAATTTTAATCATATTTAACTACTTATATCGATAAAAGTAGTTAGAAACAATTGTGTGAATTAATTTCTATGACATGAAGATCAAGTTTGTCTTTATTTCTTTTTAAATAAGTGTTTTCTTAAAATATCATTCATCTCATCACAATTAGCATTGGTATGTACGACGTCCATCGTATCAGTGTTCATCTTAACTTTGTTCTTTAATGTTAATTGTAGAATGTTTCTGGAAAGATTTATTGATTTATTTAGATATTTATGAGTGTAGACTAAATCGATATTATTGGATAATGTGGTAGATTCTACGTGCACCAAGAGCTTCTTAACCCAAACGAATAAACTCGGAATGTAATTAGACAAACTTTATCATAGTTACTGTTCAGTAAGTCAGTCAGTCAACCAGTCAGTCAGTAACAACGTAAAAGTATAAGCAGTAATCGGAAACCTTGGGGTTTGATGTTATTCAAGGATTATAATCCAGTGAAATAAATTTCAAAGGAGAAAAACATCACACGTCGGGGCAGTCGGTGTTTGGGCATACGAAACAAATGTCCCAGTGATCTTAACTTATGAAGTTTCACTAATCCATCAATTGATTTTCCATCCTCCTCTAGTACTCGTTTCCTAACAACTGGATTACTCAATCAGTGGTCTCAGGATATACGATCAATGCTTCAAAGACACCTATGATCAAATACTAGTAACATTAATATCTGAATATTCCTGGAGATCACTTTCAATCCTAGTAGGTCAATATCAGCTTCTTTGACTGATATTAGGTAATATGGGTTCAATGTACTCAGAGAACCACAATCTCTTCAAGATTGCAGATATGTCATACAGTCACGTTTTACATATTATAAGTAGTTGGATAATCACGGTTCCCTACCGATTGGCCCCTACCATTTGACATAAATAACTGATAAATCAATACACATCATATTAAGTGAATATCGAAGCAATTAGGAAAGTTGTGCAATACTCCTAAAAGTTTTCGTATGGAAATTATTCATTTAAAACAGATCACTTAAGCGTAATCCTATGATTACATGAAAAGTTAGTGACATATTTTCACGATTAGATAACTATAATGAATAAGAGATATGTTGATATGGAGAGCTAATCAGAAATAGTCCAAGGCGAATATCAACCGATGGCAATCACAAGTGACCTGAAAGACATTTTCATTTCATTGTCTGTGAAATGGATCAATTTCTTGAGAATTAGAGTGGTACATATATATGAATGAGTACTGTTGATAGTTTTTCTTGATTACAAAGCAGCATTTGACTTTGTGGATCGAGAGGTGCTGTGACAGTGTCTGTCATTGAAAGGCACACCTCAGAAGTAAATAAACCTCATGAAGGCTCTTTACTCGAACACTACTAGTGGAGTCAGAGCTTATGGCGAACTGTCATTTGATTTTGCAACATCAATCGGTGTCTGTGATGGTTGTCCACTTTCTCTATTTTTGTTTAACTTCATCATAGTCCTACTGATGAAAATAAAGCTATCGTCGATTGAATTCTCGGGCACTGATCTCCTTCCTAGAGGTTCACCTATCGACTTACAGTATGCAGATGGTATCGTCCTGTTTGGTGAAGTCACTTGGTGATTCCAAACGAAATGAACGAGCAAACGGCGATCGTTCCACTGAGATAAGAGATATAATCAGCAGTCCGTTTCTATGAATTTATCTGGACGGTCGTCCTGTGGTGTGAGCTACTTATATTCATATAAGTAGTATATAACGTGCGTTAAAAGAACGTAATGTCCGGCAGCAGACGATGGCGAAGATCAAGAAAGGAAGAGCAAGAGCACAATGGAATTGTAAGAAAACGCATGTACAATGGAATGGGAGACAATGGATTAGTGTTTGCAACGGGAACAGTACAGTTTGATATGATGGAATGATATTTTGGAAATTGACGATTGACTTTATGGTATTCACATTTTATTGAGATAGTCTGTAATTTTTGTGCTAAATACAATCGATTGTCCCCACCCGTGTTCTTGTTCACTACAGTCCAGTGCTTCCAGGATTTCAATGGTCGTCTATCATCAATTGGTTTATGATCTAAATCAAAATATATTGATAATTTCTCTTCACAGACTGTCACCCGATTGAGATACGCGCAAAACCGAAGTTCGCAAATCAACGATTTGTCTGCAATAGCGGTTCTTTATTAAATAATACACAACATTTACTTACAAACATCAACTTGTGAGGTGTCTGGGGCGTTTAAACGCGTCCTTCAACAATGAAAATAACAAAGGCTTCTTGTAAGAGTAACATAAAGAATAATTGTAACATACGATAGTACAAAGGACAGCTGATAGCTGTGACTAAATTTGATAACAGATTATCAACAACCAAAACCCGAACGAAGAGCAAACAATATGGAAACCGTTGTGTTTAAACACATGCATGAAACTGTGGATAACCGCCGCAGTGATTAAGGTACAGTAATTATAATGATAAATACAATGACAAGTACAATAAAAGTTATAAGTATGTGTGAACATTTCAGAATATTACAGTACAATTTGCGTTACAATATAAGTGGGAAAATTGTCCGGAATACAACTGCTTACTGGATGTAGATAAGTAGTATACGACAGTATACAAAAGAGTAGAAGGGGAACAAGTAGGAACAATGTAAAACAAACATAACATCTTTCGTGTTTTCAATAATCTTTCAACTGATTTCAATCATATCTTCATGAAAAGTTATACAATCTCCTCTATCCAATCATATATCGAGCATTATCAGTATGGGGTTGTGGAGATTATTAAGCTTTTGATTGAGATCATGAAGTGATTGATGTTTGACCATCACCAACAGCACTGGACGGTCGTCCAGTGCTTGCAGGATTTGACTGCTTGTTTTTGACTAACATTTCTAATGAAATACCATTCTACGTGGGGTTCACTTTTGCATAGACTGTTCACTACACAATCCTTCTATTCTGGACATCTACTTCTCGACTTATACGATTTAGTACAGTAACAGAAGAATAGGAGGATGAATGATAAAGATTGATTTCTGTTGTGACTTTATGAGCCGGTTGTTATCAGGTAATCTATTCGCCAATCAAAATACGACTTATTCGCTCTTATACTGTACTAAACCAATGACGTTCGACCGGTCTAATCAGTCTAGCGTCCTAATGGTTCGGTGCTCGCCTAGCCCGTCAACTTGAGTTCAACAACAGCCTCCACTATTCGAATCATGTATTTCAGACATACTGGGTTTATATACCAGCCAAACAGACTGCGACGCAGCATAAAATAGGAAATAACATTCATACACAGTAACGTCGAAATGTGGCTCTGAACGTGGGAGGCAGTAGTTAATAACTGAACATAGCTTAAAAACAGTAAATCGTACAATAATAATATATAGGTCAAAATAAAGCTTATAATATGAGGAATGTAGATATACACAGTCTAGTTACTGAATATTTATACCATAAGAATATATAGATAATATTAGTCCATTGATAGGTCTCAAACGTTACTCCTAATTCAATCTTCACCAGGATATAACAATTTCCATGTGTTTTTTGGTCTTCATCTGCTCTTTTGACCTTGAGGATTCCAAGTGAGAGCTTTCCTTGTGACGCAGTTGTCGGCTTTCCCAAATGTGTGTCCTATCCATTTCCAGCGCTTCTTCCTAATTTCTTTCTCCACTGGGATCTGGTATAGAATAGTTAATTTGAGAATATGATTGATACATTTGTTTCAAACTATGAAAGGTATCTATTGTGGCATTTTTTTATGTGATTCAGAAAAGGAGATTTTCTTTAATAACGATGCAGTTTACCAAAGGCGATTCAGGTAAGAAAATTTTCTATACAATCCTATGTATAGTTAATACTAGTAGTCTATAATAAAGTAGAATGATGTTGAATAATGAAAAAAACAACAACTTGAAGTGGTGCTTTGACATGAATGTGTTGGATTGATCCAGGAAATTTTTTTGCAAAAGGCAAGCAAGCATCAGAAAACGCTAAGAAGCGTTTCATTCAATCAGTGTTCACTTGACGTTTTAGCCAAAAATATCATGGAAGTGAAACGTCACGTGCAGAGGTACTGATTGGCTGATTGCTACACTGCTACTATGTTTAGTAGCATTCCATAATCTTCTAGCAACCCAAGGACATTTAACAGAGAATAAACCCGTATTTTCTGTATTGAAATGAACTTTGGAGTAAAGTACTTCTCGCATACTTTGCATCTTCTCTTTCGTTGTTCAGGTCGCTGTATAGTTCAAGCTTGTGGGTTACAGAATAGTTTAGGAAACGAATATAGCGTTCAATCTGCAAGACTTATCAGAATGGTTTATGAAAATCAGATATTGACTAGAAGTTATGTATTAATCGGGTAGTGAAAAGAGATAAGGTGAAGATAATTGTCCACTTAATAGGACACAAGAACAAAGTAATTAGAAGGTGTCATAATGGTGAATTAATAGTGATGAAAATAATTGGAAAGGAGTACAAATAATCTTTTTTTTTAAAAAGCGAACAAACAATCGATTATGGAAGATTGAAAGGTAGGTCAAGATCATGGAAGAATGAAGGACTGAACAAACTGTTTCTTATATGCAAAGGTTAGGCTTAAACTGGTGAATAGCTGTGAGCCAGTCAGCAACAACGTAGGACTTCCTACATACATCAGTTCAATTCGCCATACCACATTAGCACAGAGATGCAGTTGTCGATTCAAATCCCGTAGTGATAGAGGCGGTAAGAGTATAAGCTGTAATCAGGAAAATTAGGGTTTGAAGAAGTTATTTAAAGAGTATAATCCAGTGAAATGAATTTGGAAAGAGAAAAAAAGATACAAGGAGAATTCAGGAGATTGGAGATTGGGAGAACACAAAGAGTGGATGCACTGCATCAACAGGCGGCCTGCTTGAATATCTGGGCTACCTGCTCCTCCGATCTAGATATTTCATCAAGTTATCTGTCTTGTTGTTTGTTTTAGCACATCATTATGTCTATTGTGCTCACAATCTATTCAGGCAAATAGACATTTTCAGAAGGGCGGTTTCAGAAATTTCACTGATTGAGATCATGAGCCGATTGAATCTAGACCACCATGGAGAATCTGGGAGCACTGGACGGCTGTTTCATCCTAGTATGGGACTCCTCAGCAGTGCGCATCCACGATATATGATAGCTTAACTGAATGGATTGTTTAGTTTTCATACACTGATGATCCATAGCATTGTGAAAAATCTTAATGTTTATGCATAAACCGTATTGGTTTCATACTTTAGGATAACTGTTTATTTCCTAGTTCTATTTTATCATTATCATATATGATAATCAGTTAAGGGTAAATATAGTTCTAACAATTTCTCGTATTGAAGGAATATTGGTGAATCTCAGTCTCTGAGATTACGAATCATGATGTTTCAAACATACTGGGTTTATATACCAACCGAATAGTCCGCATCGTAACATAAAATAGAAAATAACATTTGTACAATATTTGGCCAAATGTGGCTGTGAATGAGGGAGATAGTAATTAATAGACAGGGCATAATTCAAGAATGATAAATCGCATAATAATCATTCATAAGTCAAAATGAAGCTCATAATAAGGGGAACACGAGTATGAATAGTTTAGTTATATAACAATTATACGATAAAAGTATGCACACAGTATTGGTCCATAAATGGATCCCAAAAGTTACCATTCATTATGCTTATCGGGATATAACAGTTTCTATTTAAATGACTTCACAGCTTATATTGTCTATAATATTCTACTTCTAAATTATTAATATAATGATCAATCATTTACTGTATTTCTCGTATATTATATAACATTGTGCTTTATGCTACTTATATTGATAGATATTAGTAGTATATAACACCAATCAGTAATAGAATGCCTAATAGTGAAAAGGATGATGAAGACCAAATTAAAGAGAATAGAAAGTGAAACAGAGAAGAATTGAAATAACAAACAAGGTTGAGAAATGAAGAATTATGTATAGGACAAGTGAAATAATGTATAGAAATAATGTATTTAATGTATGATGTTCAAATTTTACCATAGCACTATGATTCATTGGTTTGCATCACTTGAGTTCTGAATTATAATCATATGCCTATAATAGTTGGTTAGTGAAGATGTTATCATACTAACACTGTGATTTTAATAAGTTATATATTCACTTGGTATTGTTTGGCTTGTATTTTCCCATTGAGGTTTAAGACTGCAATTGATCGAGTCCTAGAGTGAACATCAACTCTGAGATGCAGGTACATCCAGCTGACGATTCCCAAATAGGACGAAATGAGCGTCAAACTGGATTCCACTGCTAGCCACTATCTATATTGATTTGAAGTAAGTAGTTTAAGGAAGTTAATTATGAAATTATTTAAAAAGAAAGAAAATAAGGTTATTGACACATTGACACATGTTAAACTGAACCCCAAAGACAGTTGTTCTGCAGGAGACAACTATGTAGAGACTAGATGCAGCATAGAAGACGAAGTAGTTTCTAGGGAAAAGGAAGTGGAAAAGATTGAGCTGGAGATTAGAGAACTTCAACTCCGCAAGCGATTGTTAGAGTTAACTCCGAATTCTTTAAGCAAAGTGAGAAAAGCAAGTGATCCAGGGACATAAACCCACCAGTCACGTCAGGTTGCCGGTATACCAATGCACATTTAGGCGATGAAGTGCAACTCAAAACACAAGTGGATAGTATCAAGTCACTATTTATGACAACCAGTTTACCGAAGATAGAGGTCATGAAATTTGATGGAAGTCCTTTGAAATTTTGACGTTCATAAAAGGATTCAAGGCTAACATAGACGACAGAGTAGATGATGATACTCAGAGATTAATGTACCTGATACATTATTGTGAAGGCGCAGCATAGGATGCTAAAGAACACTGTGTTTTATTACCAGAAGAAGAAGGTTTTACTGAAGCAATTAAAATTCTACACGAACAGTTCGGTAGACCACATGACATCGTTGAAGCGTTCTTAACAGAATTGTTAAATGGATCACCACTAAATCAAGACGATGTAACGGGGCTACAGAAAGTAACGAGACTAATGACCAACTGTAAGATAGCCTTGTCACAGATGGGTAGAAATGCTGATCTGAATTGTTCGACCAATATAAAACGAATAGTGAAACGACTACCACGAGGTATGCAGTTTAAATAGGCGGAAGCCGCAGACGATATTTTAAGAAAGGGGCTAGAGCCCAATTTTGATGACTTGTTGCAATTCTTAGAAAGGAGAGTTTCAATCGCCACGAACACTTAAGGGCAGTTAGCAAGTGGGAGCTACAAAGCTCAAACGACATCGAACAACCGATCTGCTTCTATTAGAGCTAAGATCCGTACATTGTCGAGTAAAGGAACAGTTCATTGTGTAATTTGCTCTGATACCCACGAAGTCGTATCTTGCCCACAGCTGCTAGCAGTAAATCACAACGAAAGGTTAGAATTACTGAAGAAGTTTGAGCTTTGCTTTAATTGTTTAAAACCAATCATCGAGCAACAGACTGCCGACAACCCATGTCGTGTGAAATCGATGGATGCAAACGACGTCATCATAGAATTCTTCACGACACAGGACCTGATGTTAAACAAGCACGCTGTAATTCTACTTATTCTACTGGAACGTATTTAGGACTTGTACCAGTCAGGTTACATGGCTCCGCAGGACACGTGGATACATATGCATTATTGGATAACGGCTCAGACACGACAATACTGCTTAGTGATGTGGCAAAGCAGGTGGGAATTTCAGGTACAGTGACTCGATTAAACATATCCTCTGTAATTGGAGCGTCATCTCAGAACGCTGAATTTACTAATTTCGAAATTGAATCTTTAGATAAGACTAACCGAATAAGGATCGAAGGTGCATACACCATCGATAACCTACCTGTTAAAAAAGCAGAAATGCCACCGACCGACTTCCAGAAAAGGTGGAAACATTTGAAAGGTGTACGGCTACCTACTATTACATGCGACAGAGTAGGGTTGTTAACTGGAGTTGACGTCCACAAGCCCACTGGGTTCTCGATCAACGTATCGGAAGGCCAAGTCATGTCAGATCAAGTCAAGTCAATCAGGCACACAAGTCAAGCGTATTTATACAAATATTTATAATCGATATTGTCATGGTAAAATTTTTTAAACAATAATCAATAAGTCCATCAATGGACAGCCATTCAAATATTTAATCGATAAGTTCGTCAATTGACTGCTATTTAATCATTTAATCGATAAGCTCATCAATTGACTGCCATTCAAATATTTAAACATTTAATCGATAAGTTAATCGATATGATAAAATCACAAAATATGAGTTTTGGGGATCTATCGTCCCCAACAAGTGTTGATTATTTGATCATTATTATGGGTGACTTGACATTAAGTACCCTATTTTTCTAGTGTTAGGTCGTAGAATGTTATCAAGAAGAGGTATTAGATATAATTCCCAGTGCTATGTACTATCTTTCAACAATACATACTCACAATCTCGAAGATTCCCATTTCTTTCACTGGACTTGAACCCATATCACTCAATGTCATAGAGATGTTACTAATGTGGCTATTTGAGTCGTGATTGATTTTCTGTATAACCAGAATATACACACTGACTGATCAATGAGTATGTCATGTTTATTCTAACATCTTCATTGAAGATTTGATTTATACGTTTTACAATAGTGGCAACTTTTTGACTGTGATACTAGTTAGTGCAGCCTTGTGTTTCAGAGTAAATATCTATTTCTTCAAACGTGTAGATACATGCCTTGCTGATGCGTCTCACCTAGTACGAAAAGTAGATGAAATATAGGGATTCCTGTAGATTTCACCTAACCTTCTAACATGAAAAGTGATTCAATAGTCTTAGGTTCTAATAATTATTCTGAAATCTTTCAAATCGTATGACATTACGTGACCAGTGAAATTCTACTATTTTTTCCTCATTACAAATGAAACTGGTTTTGTTCGAACTAACATATGCCTGAGAAAAGCTTAGTTAGTTTAGTTGTCTGTGTTGTATAACTTATTCTCTGACTCTCAGCTTTTATGAAATGATATGCAGATGATCAGTCAGCTATAAGTATAGGTCAATCATGTAACCGCGGTAACTGCACATATATCCCTGCCTGTATCAATCTGGGCACCTAAAAATACGTAAAGTTTGTTAATAAATTATTTGGAAGTTGATGATACATCTTATTTATTTACTTATTTAAACACAAACATTGATACAAGGAGGGCAGCTGATATATATGCGCCACACGAATCTCATTTGATTTGTGTGAGGGATGTGATACTGGGCCAACAGAAGGTTTTTTTAGGCCCCGGCTCCCAATTTCCAAAGGGAAAAAGAGAGTTCTGTAGCCGGTGACCAACGATTAGTTCATACACCATATGTTTTTTCAGAATCCTGGAACGCATATACGCCACTGGTTTAGAATCAGGCTCTTCAAACTCTCGAGTAAACCAACCCGGTTGAAGTACCGGATATTCGTTTTTCGCCCTCTCAATTTCGTAAACAATAGCAATGCAACCAGAAGGCAGGGAGTAGGACTTCCCTGTCAGTGGTTGTATGCACGTGGCCACTTGAGAGCATTTCAAAAGGGAGAGCTTACTCTCCTCACTCCAAGCCGTACGAGCGTATTTGGGGGCCTAAGTATGTGTTGGAGGTGGGATTCGAACCCACGCCCTCATCATGGACCAGATGATGACACAGCTTCTTAGTCAGTTTATTTTTTCTCTCACTGAATAGTTGGGTTGACCGACTGTTAGAAACATATAATACAGTCATTTAACATGACAGAATACTGAAACACGATAGGTTGATAAACTGACTTGGTATTTTGGAGATCTGTGAGACAGAAAATGAGTTTCAATGGTATCGCATTCTGTAAACCAGATGATGTAATGAAAATTTCAAGTTTGTACTATGTGGATATTTAAAAAACCAAGGAAAGCTTCATGATCTAAACATCAAGCTCAGAAATATGAAAATCGCTGAAAACTGATAAGTTGTAAATCAACTAATATCATATTGTCTAGTTCGACTCTGAAATTGGATGAAGAAGTAAGAACGTCCAGAGTTGCAGACATGTTTGTCTAAAAAAATGCTTATCAATACATCATTTAAATCAAAAAAAGCTTTTTCATGTTTAGGTAACTGATTTACTAAATATTTGTTTACGGACTCGGCTTTGAATCACATTGCATATGCTAGTGAAACGACCTAGCTTTCTGAAATGAAGAAGGTGAAGAAGGATTCCAGTATGTTTAGCTGTTGCAAGATCTCATAACAAGCGATGAATGGATGTGTGAATAGACCCTTGTATGTCAGTGGATTATTCATCGGACCAAAAAATTCCTTGCACACATCTATTTCGGTCAGCCTTGACACATATATGTACTATAGGTTTGTGTCAATTACTATTCGAATTATTGTGGGAATTCAACTTTCCAGGATATATCAGTATAGAGGTTGTGGAGATTGTTACGTTTTGATTGAGATCCTGAACCGATTGATGATGTTAGACCATCATTGAAAACCTGGAAGCACTGGACAGCCGTTTCGTCCTGTTGTGGGACTCCTCAGCAGTGCGCATCCACGATTCCTCTCGCGGGATTCGGACCCAGGGCCTTCAGTCTCCAGGATATATTTGATCTCTGGTTTCATATTGTAGACTGACCAAGTTTTTAGAAAGTGTATCTCAACTTATTAATAGTGATATAAGTGGTTTAACCAATTAAGCATCACCTCATTATAAGAAAGTACTACAATAATAGAATATCATTTGTCTTAATCATCGTTCATTCTTTGATTTACTTTTTCAGTAAATAATACAACTTCTCGAAATACTTCAGCTGATAAAAGTTCTGACAGTAGAACTATTAAATCAGCAACAAAATCGCCTGGAAACAAAACAATTGGTATCACTGGTCAAAAATCTGGTTCTACACGTGGTACTTCAGCAAAAATTGATTTTAATCAAGCTCATTGGAAAATGAGAATAATATGTAATAATTCTGTAAGATTTATTCTTAGAAATAGTATGTTTCTTAAGTGGAACTATGTCGATGTTTATCTGTTGTTTATTTATAACAATTTTTCTAAAGATAGTCAATTTTATTTCATGTTGAAGTAGAACATTAAGAATGTCTAACTTGAACCAATTCACAAAATTGCCCCATCGTCTATTATTATCTTCAGTGAGTTACTGAAGGGTTCTATACTAGGATGAAACAGCCATCCAGTACTTCCAGGTTTTCCATGATAGTCTAGATCTCATTGACTTATGAATTCAAGTATTGATTTATAAATGTCAATCGTATTGTAGCTAGGGATGCTTATAGCTATTATTATTTCCTTGCAATAATGCTGTGTGTTTTATCTAACTAGTCAGTTGAAAAAAACATGTTCTCGTTTTAATATCAGAAAGGGTTTTGGTTGATATTCTAATAATTTTAATAGTTGAGATCATAAGTCGATTGATGCTAGATCACCATAAAAAACCTGGAAATACTGGACGGCCGTTTTGTCATAGCATAAAGGGAAGGATTGTCCAGCACAGGTTTAGATGGAGAGTGCTTGTGGGTGGCCTATGCTCCTCCACGTGGAGTAACAGGCGTAATTAAGTAAGGAAGTGAGTAATCATTAAGCAATACTATTTATAATTAATTCTGGAGAATAGAAATTGAGTGAAAGGATAGAATGTTGTTGATTTGCCTGCATTTATGTTTATAGAATGTTTCTACTTTCTTATTATTTTATTAGAATGACATTAAAATCATTAATATGGATAATAAAATATTAGAAATTAAAGCTTTAAAAAGAGCTTGGGAAGAAATGGAACCTGGTAGAGCAATAAGAGCTGAATTATCAAGAGCACGTTATCTTGAAGAATATGGTCTAATGAATAAATTGGATAATAAAACTATTGTAGATGATTCAGGATCGACGATCACAATTAAATCTGATGGTTAGTTGTGTGAATCAATCAACTTTTTTTATTGTTAGTTGTGTGTATTGTCATCAAGAAACCTTGTTTAATCTAAGTTTCAACTCAACCATTACTCATAAACTAAGCATGTCTGTAGTCTTGATGGAACTGATTGACCTTGTAGGTTTCAAACTGTCCAGAATTCGAACATGTCCATTTGAAATCCACAAACTTTATAAATGTGAGTATGAAAGAGTTCTGACTGATAATTGTCAATATTGTCGAATCTGAATTCCTAGAACATTCAGTCAGCTGTTACCCACAACCTAAAGACGAATGGGGAAGTCACTAGTATTATGAAATAAATTACTAATATATGTATTACGAATACTCAGACATATATTTCTGTGCACGTACTAGGCTGAAGTGATATCATATTGAGATAAGATGGTGGTTGGAAGTAGTCAACAAGAACCCCTTGACCTAGGTTTCGTGCTACTTGGCACTTGTCAGCAAGATGTACCTGTAATCTTGAGTAGACTGATGCTCCCTGGCAGATTCGACCCCGTGACACCAGCTTCATAGTTAGAGACGTAACCACTGAGCTATCTGGGCCTCGACCGACCTCCTGTATGACTGAAATGTATTTACAATTGATTGGTCACTGGGTAGTGATCAATGTCATTTATGTCAGGTGGATTTTAGTGCAGATCGAATCTTATCGATCAAATTGTATAGTGCACGTTATGTCGAATCACCTAGACTGATGGCCACATTACAAATTGGTCGATAGGATTCAATCTTTACTAAGAAGGACCTGACATACATAACATTGATCATCACCCAATGATCAATCAATTGTAATATTTTGTCTTATTGAACATTAACTAGGAACATCGTAAGACATAGAGTTGATCACAGAAAATTATAAATAGTCATTTGAAAACTTGTAAGAACTTTGAAATAATAATTAACTGAACTGTTAAAATGAAAATGAACCTTCATGAAGCAAATGTATTCACCTCTTCTCTTTTACATCTTGAATCATTCATTTATTCAAACGCTTATTTCTCCCTACTCTTACCAGTGTTTTTATTAGGAAAGTATTTTGTTTGTAATAATATTCACATTGCACTGTAGTTACGACCATGGCATGAAAACTCAATCATTCAATTCCTTGTTAAATTCACATCTGTATCATTTGAAGAAGTAATAATTCAACAATTCCTATTATGACTTTATATCCGGCTAGTTATCATGTGATTTATCCACCAATCAAAATACGACTTATACAATCTTCGCACTGTGCCAAAACCAATGACGTTCGACCGGTATAGGCAGTCTAGCGTCCTTATTGTTCCTATATCCGCCTAGTCCATCCACTTGAGTCAAGAACACCAATATCAGCTTCCACTATGCAAATCGAATCGAATCATTTGTTTCAGACATACTGCGTTTATGTATCAACCAAACAGACCGCAACGCACCATAAAATAGGAAATAACATTCATACACAGTAACGCCAAAATGTGGCTATGAACGTGGGAGGCAGTGGTTAACTGAACATAGCTTAAGAACCATAAAGCATATACAAATAATCTGTAGGTTGAAATGAAGCTTATAACAGGGGGAATATGGATATACACAGTCTAGTTACTGAATATTTATACCATAAGAATATATAAATAATATTAGTGCATTAATAGATCTCAGAAGTTACTGGTGACTTAATCTTCTCTCGGATATGACATAGGGGAGTGGCAACATCTTGATTCCAAACCAATGATTCATATGGGCTCCAATATCCTAAGGAAACAAATGGCATATGAATCAATTGTTGGTAACCAGCTAACATGAGACTGCATTTTCTAAAGTTACTCCACCGTCTTGTGGATTAGATCTTTAGGTTAAAGGCTCTGGTTATGCCTCCCTAAGAAACCCAACTGCTTCAGTTAGGGAACTCGAACATTCGATTTATATCCAATTACTGAATAGTTATATCATAAGAATGTATGGATTAGATTAGTCAGTTAATTTGTCTCAGACGTACTCGTGATTTATCTTCGCTCGGATATAACAAATCCTACTCACTTTTTTCTCAAAAAGGTTTCATTGTTTTCTTTCAACTTTAAAACATCACTAAATAATTAATCAATACATGGATAACTTATTCTATAACCTGAAGTTAACATGAAGCAAAATCGTAAATCATAGATATGAACAATTGACGAATCTCACAAACGGACGAAACATGCGTTAAATTAGATTTCACTTTGTGATCAATTCATTTTCTTTTGTTTTAATAAAATTCTCCATCTCTCTCTCTCACTCTCTTTCTTTCTTTAGATAATCTAATACAAATTATAAAAGATCATTCTCCATTAGATCAAACTTTATTATTAGATCCATCTAAAATTTATATTTTAAAATTCCCACCAGAATTAAATCGTACACTTTATCCAATTCAATTAATGAATTTAAACAAATTCTATCATCATTTCAATGAGATTGAATGTAAACGTATTGAACAAGTTCAATCTATTATGAATGCTTATTCAATGAATTCATGGTTTATTCTAGAATATTCTTTAAAACAAATTCAATGTTTATCTTATAAAAATTTAAATGAAATTTTAAAATTTAAATATCAATTATTTAATGATTATTTAAAAAATTTAAAATTTAAATATTTAAATTTAAAAAAAAACAAAATCAATATAAACAAAATTATATTGATTTATTGAAAACAATTCAAGTAAGTATGATTCATCATTGTGATTAATATAATATAACAACTAATTTATGAATGAGCCAATCAAAGGTGTTTAAAAGAGATTTCAAGGTTATGGTGCTAATTTCAGTGCTTAATACGTCATTGGTCCAATCGATAATTCACTGTTCTCTAATTGGTGATATCATTCCATTATTGTCATCAATGAGTTACTATTTCATAACAGATCCAGTTGAACTCCATTGGTCATTGCTTGTCACTAGAACTCCAGGATAAACCTCTTGAAGTCAGTCACCAATAAGCATATGTTTATTAGTATCAGAAAAGGTTTTGTGGAGATTAACACTATTGAATGATGAACATCTGTGTGGTCTAGAGGTTAAGTGTTTGCGCGCGAGACTGAAGGCCCTAGGTTTGAATTCCGTGAGCGGGAGTGTGGATGCGCACTACTGAGCGCCACAATAGGATGAAACGGCCTTCCAGTGCTTCCAGGTTTTTAATGGTGGTCTAACATCAATTGGTTCATGAACTCAATCAATGAATTAATAATCTCCACTACCCTTATACGGATAGTTAAGCTAATAAAACATATTTTAGACTTTGGATGAACAGGCTAATTAGACCTTTTGACTTATTCCCTTAACAACATTGACTGATTGTATATGAGTGTATGTGTGGGCATTGCTTATCTTATTCATCACATGGCTGTAGCTTATTTTTGTGTAACTATAACTATTGATTAAGGCTTGGTTAAATGGAGTTGGATTACACACCTTCTCCACTGTGTGCCATTTCACTTCATTCTCTTCTATTTGTATCGTTCCTCTGAATGTCTGTCCAGATTAACGATTGTATGAAATATACATATTCGAAATCCTTTCTCGTATTGGACTTATTTTAATTCCCTTATTCACTAACGCGAGTTAAGTTGATAATTATCTACGAGGAAAGCCAGGATGTATATTTCGATAACATTTTTAGTGGTCGGAGATCTGACTCCATTTGGAACGCATGATTGATTGCTGTTGAAACATACATGTTGCCAATTGTCGTGTATAATTATCAACTTCATCTACGTTAGTGATTAACGGAATTATATAAGTCAAATATGTGAATGGATTTTGAATATATATATATTTTGTACACTCACTGATCTGGGCAGACATTCAGAGCGACGAAGCAAAATGATGAGGTGTGGAGAATGTACAAAAGTCAACTCTATTTAACCAAGCGTTAATCAATATTAATAGTCACACAAAAATAAGCTACAGACATATGATGAGTCGGATAAGAAGTGTACACACACATATATATACACCCATATAGAAACAGTCAAGGTTGATAAGTAAATAATTAACAAGTTGAAAACGTGACTCAAGAAGAACCGTTAAATTGACCTGTCCAGAGGCTAAAATAAGCTATGTGGGCTTGACATAGGACCAGCCACTACACACTCATGCGATTCAACAGGAGTCAGAACCTGGACCACTAAAGTAAGTTGCTAAGTCATGAGAATTGACTAGATTTGGAAATGTGTATTATTGACAGTGGATTTCAATGGTCAAAAGATATCTTATCATGTGAACTAAATGTTATAAGCTCGATTGTGAGTTGAATGATACTGTCCGAGAATAGAATAGTTATTCAGTGCTGTATAATTTTTGACAGCTCACTGGGTAGTATTAACTTGTAACAAATAAAATCTTTTAAAGTTCGACTGTTTTGTGTGTGTGTGTGACAATCAGATAACTAAACGAACGATCAGATGTATACAAAGGTTAGGTACCTTTGGAAAGATACTAGTTGACAGTCTTAGTGTCAACATTAACACTCAATGCAAGTAAACCTAATCTAGGAGTCCTGCATAGAACAAAATTCACTTTCTAGGTCCCATTGCCAACTATTATATAACATTATTTCAATCTTGCAATTAAATAGAACTATATAAGAAGTTCTTTGAAGGTGTACATACTCTAAAAGAGATTGATCAGTTTGATCCTTAACATTAATGACAACGAGAGAACATAAATACTTACAAATATTATGCGTCAGATGGTTTATCTTTATTGTTTTAACGACGAACCAGCTGAAAAACCACAAAACATCTTATATAAATGGTAGATACAAGCAAATACTGAATCAGATATTCTAGTTGAGTTTGTAGTTCATTCTTAGTCTTTATGTTAACCTATTTAAACACCTGTATGAACACAGTCCCATGGTAGCCGGTGATCAACAATAGGTTCATATGCCATTTGTTTGCTTAGGATCCTGGAGCCCATGTACAAAATTGTTTCGGAATCAGGGTTTTCCAACTGCCCTAGGTGGACTCTCCTTGTCCATCAAGCCAGTTGAAGCGCCGGACATTCGCTTTTCATCATCTCAATTTCGTAAACAACAGTGAGTAGGACTTCTCTGACAGTGGCTGTGTACGCGTGACTATATGAGCGCATTTCGAGAGAGAGAGATGACTATACTCACCCTTGGCCATACCAGGGCATTCAGGGGCAATATTACAGTTAAGCACAAAAATTACCTGACAATTTTAAAAAGACTACGATCATTTATACATACAGATTAGCCTTAATATACTACTGAATTCAATGGTGAGACTATAATTTATGGACAACCTCTAAGAAACGCTAAAATGACCTTGAGAATATTCACTATTTACTCAAGTTAAATGAGAGTTATAAATTAGATTGAGGAATGAGGATTAGCACTTACAGTCGAATGTTTGACTTAGGAACTAGATTTAGTATTTTCATCATGAATTGACATCAGCTATAATATCAAAATGGTATTTGTTATGTCTTTATGCTGGGCTAGTTATCACGTAACCTATTTCCCAATCAAAATATGACTTATTCGCCCGTGTTCTGTACTAAACTAATGAAATCCAACCGGTCTGATCAGCCTAGCGTCCTATTGGTTGGTTGTTCGCCTAACCCGTTCAGCTGAGTCCAGAATGCCAACTACAGCCTCCACTACGTGAATCATTCATTTCAGACATACTGAGTTTATATATCAAACAAACATACTGCAACACACCATAAGATAGGAAATAACATACACAATAAGGTCAAAAATGTGGCTATGAACGTGGGAGGCAGTGGTTAATAAACTGAACATAGCTTAAGAACAATAAAGCATACACTAATAATCTATAGGTTGAAATGAAGCTTATAACAGGGGGAATATGGATATACACAGTCTAGTTACTGAATATCTATAGCATAAGAATATATAAATAATATTAGTCCATTAATAGATCTCAGACGCTACTCGTAATGTAATGTTCACTTGGATATAACAGTATTTAACCAAATCAATGAATGAATTTCATGTCAAAATCCAAGATTTCCTATTCTTAACTCCAAATGGGTCATCTATAAATTATAGTCTCATCAGTTTTTGTTTTATTAAATATTCTAGATGACGTTTTCTTCAGTAAACTAAATCATTTGGTTAGGGAGATTTCGTCGCTTTTCTGAACGTTATCATCAGTAATGAAATGTTCACATTTCCCCACATATAACTCATAGCTTATTCGTTTAGATCTTGATGTTGATTAGTTTCTAGTTGATTTTCAATTTATCATTATTTACTTTTTTTAATATTTTGATTATATCTCTCATTGACGAGACTCTATGGACGACCTTTGAACGAATCTTGGATGTCCTTCAGAAATATATGTATTCCAAAAAACCCAAAGAATTAAAGTGGTTCGAAGACTAAACATGGTTTGAAAAAGGTTCAGAGGTACTGAAGTAATAGTACATACGATAGAGGAACTCATCCATATGGCTCTATAATTGTCGACCTCTCGAGCCATGATAGGGTCGTAAGAACTATTTTGGCTTCGACCACATAACTTCAATATTGTCAGTGTGTACTCCAGTTGTAGGGTCCACAAATTAACGCTTATAAATAACGACATGATGCACACATCCAATTTTGTGCAGGTATCCGTAGGCATCAGGTACTGAAATTAGCGCCATCACCATCAAATCCTTTAAACGCTTCTAATTGACTCGTCTCATTCTCTCATTTGGTTTGGATATTTGTTGTCCAATAATATGTACTTAAGATTGTGTTATTTTCATTCTTTATTTTTTTCTTTTCTTTTTTAATCAATAGTTCGCCACTGATGAAGCACATTATAAATACTACGAAATGTGTATGAATTATAGAAATAATATAATAAAACAATATAAAATTGATAAAGAAACATCATGCAATCAAACAATGATTGAACATGATAATACAGAACCAATTCTAAATCAATTGAAAATGTAAAAAAAAGCACAAGAATTAAATCATCAAGAAGTTCAAAATCTAGTTCAAAAGTCGATCGAATTCGAATCAACGAAGAAATTGAAAGAAAAATAATTAACTCTTTGTTTTACTCTCTTGTTTTTTCTACCTCTCCCCACCTCCCGTCGTCGTCGTCGTCGTTAATAAATTGTTATATCACTGATCGAAATCATGAGTCACTTGGAGCTAGATCACCATGGAAAACCTGGAAACACTGGACGGCCGTTACGTCCTTCTATGGAACACCTCAGTAGCAGTGCGCATCCACGATCCCTCACCCGTGAGGTTCGAACCCATGACCTGTCAGTCTCATGCCAGGCGCTTAACCAACTAGCTTCAATTGACTCATGATTTCAATCAGTGAAATTTCTAAAAATCTCCACAAAACCCCTTCTGATATATTGTTATATGTTTAGAAAATAATATGTATATAATTCGTTAGAGTCTATAACAGAGTAATACCTAATAGTTTGACTGGTCAGTATCGATAAGATATCTCTCCTCGCAAGATTTGAACCCAGGACATATCAGTCCCTGGATTGTGGATACGCAGTGTTAAGGAGTTCCATAATAGGACAAAATGGCTATCCAATGCTTTTATGTTTTCCATGGAGGTTTAGCTTCAATTTACTCATGAATTCAACCATTGATATTACTATAATATCCACAAAGATCCTTTCTTATATAAATATTTTTTATTTACATGATCTAATTCTATCACTTAGTGTGAATGTCATAGTTTTACATAAGGTCTGTCGTGTAATGAATACTACATTTGTAACACTCAGTGATGTCGGATAGAAACTTATAAGAATATCATTCCTGTCAAAAAGTCAGATAATAAGTTTTGGAAAGGATGAAACTTAGATCTAGGACTATTAGTTGATTATCTTCAAACATCTTAAATCGGACAAACAAAACTTCAACATCAGATCATTTATATTAGTGGATGCACTGTTGACTAGTGAGCGTGATACTAGTTACTATGAGGTGATAGACTATTATGAATCTACCTCTCGAAACCAACGTGTTTCCAGTCCAGTCCATATATATTGTAAGGGGCGGTGTCCGAAATCTGATACTGATAAACGATTTGCTACGCGCTACAACCCCAACTGACTACTTGAGTGTGAAAGTATGTTGAACTAGCGAATAAAATGCATAAGTCAGTCAGTCAGCCACCTACAAAGTAGGATCAGGCACATATATGTATCGGCTCAAGTCGCCATACCTCATTATCACAACAAGACCAACACAGGATTCATAGAAGTAGTTAACTCAATCGTGGTAATATATTAAAGAAAGATTTTATTTAAGGATATAGCGCAGAAAGAAAAAATTAGTTGGTACAAAGAAAGATATGAGGCGATTTCAATCTCACAGTTTAAGGGTAGACAGAGTGTGTATACACCCATACCATTGTGATCGGTCGATTCTGAGACATGTCACCCACAATCTCCAACCATTGGTTATGATAGTGACACGGACACCAACCAAGTAGTCTTTATCTACCAACATGGCTCACACCAGAATTTAGTGATTTCAAGGAGTGATGCCAAGTTTTCGTTTGGCCACCCCTAACTTCCTTCAGACCATCGCAAACACTAGTCAACATTGCACGTTGTGGTAATCGGTGTTCATGCATTCGTAACACGTGACCCAACAATCTCAGTTGATGAAGATTCATAACCTCATCAACTGATTCACCATCATCCCCTAATACCCTGCGTCTAACCTCACTATTATTTACCCGATGATCGCAGCAGATAACAGCAATATTTCTAAGGCATCTGTGGTCAGATACTAGTAGCTTTCGAGTATCTTCTATACTTAATGGTCATATTTCGCAGCCATAATGTAGAACAGAACGAACTGCTGCACAGCATATTTGACCCTTAATTGATAGACAAATAGCTCTCCTTTGCCTAAGGTGACATAAGTTGGCAAAGGCCAAACGAGCTTTCTGAATCCGTGCTGAGATTTAGCATGTTTTTGATTCGGTTGAACGTTTGTTCGGCAGTCTCAGTTCACGTAAACTTGGTGTTGCACAACAACTTATATAGGGTGCTGCTATTTCTTTGAAATTCTTGACAAACCGACTGTAGAACGTTGCTCTTCCCAGGAACTGTTTCAACTTCCTTTTCGAAATAGGTACTGCAATATTTTTTATGGCAAGAATTTTCTCCGGCAATGGTTTTATTTCTCCATTTCCCACTTTATGTCCCAACAGCGTGACGCTATTTCTCGCTATCGGCGACCTGTTCTTAATTAGTCGAAGTCCAAATTCGTCAATTCGCTTTAAGACCGCTTCCACGTGCTTGATATGATCTGTTTCTGTTTGACTGTACACAACTACATCGTCGCCATATACCTCGACATTATCTAGATTCTTGAGCAGTAGTGTCATTAATCTTCTGAACGTGAACGGTGCACCCGCCAACCCGAACGGCATTTGTTTAAACTGATACTGTTTATCACGTACAGTAAACGCTGTCTTGCTCCGATCGCTCTGTTTTATAAGTAGTTTCCAATAACTTGACCGTAAATCCAAGACTGTAAACACCGCGACATTCTGTAGTCGATCTAATGTTTCCACCACTGTTGGTATTGCACAAGGTTTCATGTCTCTTATATTATTCAATTCTCTGAAGTCGGCACAAAATCTAAACTTTCAATTTGGTTTCTTTACCAAGAGTACCGGTGAACTGTCCGCTTTCTCATTTATACCTTCTTTCAACATTTCCTGGACCTGACGATTTACCTCAGCCTCTAAATGTATCGAGACACGACGTGTTGCAAATATATTACCACGGTCGTTGTTTATCGGGATTTCGTGCTTTACTTTGTCACAAAATCCATACGGCTACCTGCAGAGGTGATACAGAAGTCGCTCGCAAAAGACAAGCAAGCATCAAGAAACACTAAGAAGTGTTTCGTCCAATCAGCGTTCATTTGGAGTTTTGACCAAAAATATCAAGGTAGCTAAACGTCACGTGCGGAAGCTCTGATTGGCTGGCTACTACACTGCTACTATGTTTAGTAGCGTTCCAGAATATTCCAGCGACACAAGGACATTTAGATATATTATAAAAACCCTATATTTTCTGTAATAAAATGAACCTTGGGATAAAGTATTTTCTCTCATACTTGTGTCTTCTCTCTGGTGTTCAAGTCGCTGTGTAGTTCTAGACTGCAGGTTACCGGAATAGCTTAGGAAACTAATATAGCGTTCAATCCACACGACTTATCACTCTCCATCTCCAGTGAACTGTTTCGTGTACTTTTTCGATAACTCGGTAATGTTTGTGTTCTTCGACGAGACATCCGCTGCCACTCTTATTTCAGCCACTTCACTACTTTCGTGTATTGGCAGTGAACTATATTTTATGACCATCCAATCGCTTCTTAGGTCAACTATCGCTTGTACTTCTCATAGAAAATCTACTCCTAATATCGGTCTCGATAAGCTTGTGGTTACGACGAACGGAAAATTTATCTCAGGATCTGCTTTTACGATGCTGTTAGATGCCTCCAACACCTTTAACATATGGTTTCCTGTAGTGTGGACAGCTATTGTACACGGCCTGAGTCTCTTACATTGCTCTTTGCCTATTAACGATACTGCTGCCCCTGTATCTATCAGACAAACTAAATGTCGTTCATTTATGTCCACTCTCGTATACACTGCTCCTCTGTCTACTAACGCAACAGCCTCCAGATTCCAGGATAGAAAGAACACTCGTTGTAACGTCCAAAATATCTGCGCCTTCGTCTTGTTGTACAGTTTATCTTCCAATGTCCTGTCCCTCCACAAGCGTAATATTTATCGTTCTTTTTATGGTTCACTCGAATTGCTGCAATCTCACGCTGCATCGTCAATTTGCAAAATGTCAATGCATCATATCAACCTGGATTGTTCCTGTTGCAAACATCAATCCATTGTCTCACATTTCATTGTTCATGAGTTGCCTTATAAATTGCATTGTGTTGTCGCTCTTCCTTTCTTGATCTTCCCCCATCTTCTGCTGCCAGACATTATGTTTTTAACTTGCGTCATATACTAATTATATCAATATAAGTAGCACGCATCACAGTACTTTCTTATAATGAGGTGATGCTTAATTGGCTAAACCATTTATATTACTATTATTAAATCGAAATACACTTTCAAAATACTTGATCAGTCTACAATATGAAACCAGAAACTAAATATATCCTGGAGACTGAAGGCCCTGGGTTCGAATGAAGAAGATATTTAACTTCATTGTTTAATTCAATGGAATACTTTGAGTAGAGGTTGATCACCATAAATAATTCTGTATAATTCACATTTTACACAGAGATAATTTAATCAAATTAAGGTGAATGCAATAAAGAGTCTTATTCTGTGAAAGGGTAGACAGAACCACTTTCTAAACAAGATTCATTGTAAACATACCAATACCTCTTCAACATCTACGGATATATGTTAAGGAATATTCTGAAACAACAGTGAGGCAAATATAAACAATTTTCATTGTGTGAAGTTTCCCACCATCGAGTAGATTTATTGAACTGGGCATGCTTGAATGGAAATGCTGGAATGGTTGACAATTCAAAATGTCGTATAATAATTCGAAATGTAGATGATCATGCAGATAACTTCGTTGAAATAGTTTGATTATGTAGCTTTCGATAAACGAAACTTGAGCACCGAAATTTTAAGTGGATCATCGAAATTGAGAACGACGATGAAAGCTGCGTTTTTACTGTTGACGATTAAGTATGTCACAAATCTAGCTTTGATACATACACCAAGCAATAAACCGCTAGAATCGTAAAAGTGTAGATGATGACTGGTGATTCAAAAAAGATTTCTAATTATGTCACGTTATTGTTCATGATAGAAATTCAATTACGACAGCCTGAAGGCACACATTAAGAAATCAAACATGACCAAATTATAAGTGAATAAATTGGGCTTCAAAGCTTTTTCAACAAAAAAATATGAAAGAAAATCAAAATGGATTGAAACATATTGCATATCATTTTGACGGATAAACGTATACTACTTATATGATGATGAGGTAGTCCATTTTCATATCTA